ATATTTATATTATTTTCCTCCTTATATCAACTGATATGAATTACTATTAACTGAACAATTTTATATGCAGTAGTCCTTCAACCTGTCACATACACCGCCACATCCTTAAAATTCAGGGAAATGAAGGACGCATTTGAGGGCCGCATTTTGAGCAGCCTTTGAATTGGAACAGCCTTCGTCGAGTCGCTGTGACTTAATCCGCCTTAAAATGCGGCCTTCAAGGCTGCAGACCCTGAATTGGGATACAACCTATATTCCAGATATCTGTAGTATTATTTAGAATCATATGATTACAACACATTTACCTCTCCTCCACTTCTTTGAAGTGTCTCCCAGTCCCAGTGCACTTGTTAGCATGTTTTGGTTCGTGCAACTAGTCTGTCGTGTTTTATCTCCCCAGAAACATTTCCATTGTGTTTTTTCCTATTTCCGTTGTGTTTTGTGTGCTTTTGAAGCGTTTTTCTTTCTGCAGCGTTGTTCTTTTTGCAGCTGTTTTCTTTTTGTAGCATTTTTCTTTTTGCAGCGTTTTTCTTTTTGCAGCTGTTTTCTTTTTGCAGCTGTTTTCTGAAGTTGCAGTGCAGCGTTTTTCTTGAAGTTGCTGTGCAGCGTTTTTCTTTTTGCAGCATTTTTCTTTTTCCAAGTGTTTTCTGAAGTTGCAGTCCATTTGGCCTCTCAGGGCCACCGTAGAAACACATCATTATGTAGCAATTTCAAATATCCAGTGGCCTTGAGGTTTCCATTGATGAAGAATGGACCCACTATCGTTGTACCCCATATACCACACCAAACCATCACTTTTGTTGTTCCAACAGTCTTGGAGGGATCCATCCAATGTGGGTTAGTGTCAGACCAATAGCGGTGGTTTTGTTTGTTAACTTCACCATTCACATAAAAGTTTGCCTCATCACTGAACAAAATCTTCTGTGTGAACTGAGGGTCCTGTTCCAATTTTTGTTTTGTCCATTCTGTAAATTCTGTGCGCCGATCTGGGTCATCCTCGTTGAGATGCTGCAGTAGCTGGAGTTTGTAAGGGTGCCATTTGTGAATAGTTAATATCCGCCGAAGGGATGTTTGACTAATGCCACTCTCCAGTGACATGCGGCGAGTGCTATGCTGTGGGCTCTTGCTGAATGAAGCTAGGACAGCCACTGATGTTTCTTCATTAGTGACAGTTTTCTTGCGTCCACATTTTGGCAAATCCCATACTGAACCAGTTTCACGAAAAAGCAGTTTGCTAACTGTAGCATGGGAGATGGGTGGTCTCGTAGGGCGTCTTGCATTGAAATCTGCTGCAATGACCCGGTTACTGCGTTCACCAGATATCAACACAATTTCGATCCGCTCCTCACGTGTTAACCTTTTCGACATGTCAATGGCTGTGAACAAAGAGCAACTTGTAAATAACTCATGAAAGAATAAAGTTACGTTGAAACCAAGCACACCATTGTTTTTCTTGTGACATTACCAGTAAATTTGATGTGTCACATGGCCCTCTTCCTATTGAAAAAACAAAAGTTGTATCCAAGATGGCCGACTTCTAAATGGCCACCATGGTCACCACCTATCTTGAGGAGTTTGCCCCCTCACATATACTAATGTGCCATAAACAGGACTTTAATATCACCAGCCATTCCCATTTTATTATGGTGTATCCATATAAATGGCCCACCCTGTATTTACAGTAGTGGTTTGTGGGAAATACTCCTAGCATTTGCAGACCTGGCAGACTGTGTCAGCAACTTTATTTTCATCCATAACAAACATATTTAAGCTTTTGTTGGCTTCACAGAGGCAACCTGCTGAAAATGCTTAATCCAGTTTATACTTACCTAAAAAAAAAAAAAAAAAAAAAAATCTAAGCTCTTAACTACTAAAACCAAGGAAAAGAAAAAGGAAAAACATCAGGGACAAAAACAAAGCCCTCCTAAACTGAAGCTTGTTTCTAAACAATGTCACTAAGCAGCTCCGAGAATCTGCTGGAATCAACCTCAGTTTATGGAATATTTTGACCCAAACATCCGTTTCACAGTAAGAGGGTAAAGGCTCAGACATCCTGGTGATTAATAGAAGCTGGCTACTGAACACATTTTTCCCAGACTGTAATTTTCCTTCAATCACTATGGTTAAATGGGCCTTTTTTTTATTTAATCAACTAACTATTCCCATGAAAATATTTACATAAAAGCTTTATAAAATACTGGTTTGTGTATCCCATTTAAGCTTCAGCAATCAGAAAACACAAAAAGCTCTTTCAGGCACTGTTTGAATCAGGAACAGTCATGGATCCTTCCTCATTTTACATTTAGTGATAATTTTGACCAGGAATGTATCATGGAGATATATCCATGCCGATTATGGTTATTGCTCTCATATGACTCAACAAAAACATAGAGGATGTTGGTGGCATGAAACTGCTGTACAGGGACATGAATGTTAATGCTTTTGTTTTGTTGCTGAGCTTTAAATAATTGACACTACAGACAAAGAAACACAGAGCTGTTATTTCCATTCCCTGTCTGGCCTTTTCCAAGAATAGACTTTTCTGTTGAGAATCTTTTTTTTCTGTTTTATCTTCAAGGCAGTTTTTTGGCATTGACACAAAGCAAAAACAAATGTGTTTTTTTGATTAGTGTTTCATGTTACTTTTGCCTTTTGTTCTGCTAACAAAAATAGAAGAGAACAGGAAATGGAAGGGCTCTGAGGGATGAGAAAAAAATCAAATGAGGACAGTTTTGATCCCAGGATGTTGTGGTCACTTGAAAGGGACAAGGGCACATCTTATGTACTTTTCCATAGCCTATCTTTGTATAATCAAGATTTGTGACCTGCATGCTGGAGGAAAACTACTCCAATATTGTTTTTTCACTGTAATACAAAACTTACAGATATGGAACTTCAGTCATCACAGGTCGTTTGCTTACTCCTTATATGTTTTATGTCCTCAGCTTTAAGCTATTTTCCACCACTGCTTTTGAATGTTTAAGCACATGTGAATATAACAAAGTGTGCACTGGGCACTAAAGTTCTACCCATATGTTATTGCTTACTATGTAAGCAATAATGTGTGTGCCTGACTGTGTGTATGCTAACACTTTTTTGCATGTTGTGTGTTAGATCTCTTACATAACAGTCGACTCATGGGAATAATTCCGTCAGCAAAAGCAAAATGTACAGTAGAAAACACTCTTGCATGTGCAAAAATACCCATGTTGTTTGTTAGAGTAAAAATGTACAGAGTTTTCAAAATAGAAATACAGACATAAACTGGTTCTAATACATGTCTTTTTTTCTAAAAACGGAAACAAGCCTTTCAAAAGATCCATATGCATGTCTCAAGGAACCAAACCAGGATTGAGGTGCTGGAAACAGTACTAAAAGCTGAAAAGGTATATTGAAATCAAAAAGTTTTACAGGTTGAAACTGTGAGATTCTAGAGTGGGGTCAGTGACAGGGGCAGGCAGGTGATTTCTTCAAACACTAAGCTCCACAGCTGTCTCATCATCAATGTCTCTTTTAGAAACTAAGGGCAAAAAGCATCTGTACAGAAGAGAGTGACGTAAGTTCAGGACAAAACAGATTCAAAAACAGTTAAAAACACAGAGGAAACAGGAAGGGTTTCCCACAGGACTGGAACAAAAAATTTCTAGCTGGGAAACATCATGAGTTTTGAATCATCGGGTTTCTGGGCCGTTTTAGATGTACAATCATAGGATTAATGATAGGTGCCATGAAGATCATGGAATTATGGGTGCATTCCACCCAAGACAGTTTTGAGCTCCAGGTTGTTTAATTAGATGAAACAGTATATTGTGGGTTGCCTCCAACTCCTAATTGGTCCTTTCAGTTTTTGTTTAAGTCTGGAGATAGAAGAGAAGCAGAAGCTGGAGGTGAATTGAGGTGAATTGTGTACCCTGGTCAGACAACGTCCAGTGGAATGCCATGGAGAAGGCTGAAGGCAGCTTGGGAAGGGCTATAAAATGAAAAGCCCTGGAAAAACAATTGATTAAAGTTGGGATGGTTGTGTTACCTGTTCATGGTTACAGATACTGTAGGTGATAAAAATCCAATACAATTTGGGACCATGGATGTCCAGCTAAGGATCTATGTAAATGAGCTGATAGACAACGGAAAGTCTGTGTTTTAAGCACAAACAGAGTAGGGACAGACACATGTTGTTACACATCCCTGACTAGGCCTGTCCACTAAAAAAATGTCCAGAGGAAAGTAATTGTGTGGTTACACCTGGGATAACAAGTGAACTTAGTAGTGTGAGCCCAATGAATTACCTGTAATCGAACTGATGAAGGCATATAAATCGTATAGGGTGGTCTACCTCCAGGATCAAGTCCATTCTGTTGGGCAGTATAACCATTAATTCAATCTCTTAGATAAGGGATCTAATAACACAAGATTATGTGCTCAGAAAAACAGTAAAACATAGAGTATCATGAAAGGCTGTCCAGTTTCACATTGGGGGACGTTTACTTATTTCACATTTTGTCATGTTACAGCCTTATTACATTGTGGATTAAATTAATTTTTCACCTCAAGATTCTACACACAATACCCCCATAAAGATATGAAGTGAAACACTTATGCTTGAAATGCTTGCAAATTTATTTCAAATTTCTGTCTCCCAGTAGGACGACTGAGTCCCCAGCCTGAGCACCCCCAAGTGTAGGTGGTAGAAATGTGATTACTCTGCTCCATTTTGTGCTTCTCTAGGAAGCATTACCTCCACTGCAAGTTTGCTTTGGGGTGAAGAACCAAAATTAAACCTGATCTCTTTAGTTGTAAAATGAGGTCTTGTTCAAATTCCCTGGATAGAAAATTTTTGCATATAAAGGTTTGATTTAAGGAGCTTATCCTGACCAAAGATAATCTCTTATGAATGTCCATTGTTTTCCATTGGTCACAAAGATTTACCAAAATAAACACAATCCACACATCCAACATAAAATTAGACATTTTATTTTTTTTCTTTGCAATCTTTTCTTTTCTCAAAAAGAGAAGTATAGCAGTACACTCTTTGTTTCTTAGAAAATGAAACAAACAAACAAACAAACAAACAAACAAATCAAAATGACAACAACAAAGTTATACGTTTTATTTTTCATTTTGTATTTTCTTCCTATGTTTTGGAAGAGCATACTGTCATAGAAAAATACTATATTACATAGAATAGAACTTTACACAGTTTGGAAAAAAAAATACACAATATCAATGCGTACATTATTAATAGCCCAGTCCAGAACCGTAGCAACTTTGACATCCAAACACATATTAGGCAAAAGAACAAATCAAAATATCTTTAAAAAATAAAGCATGAAACATAATTAAAAAAAATAAACACATTAATAAAAAAAAATAGGAACAAAGACTGGAGACACTGACATTTCCTACTTTTGAAATGTGCAGCATGACATCATTTTCTCAGTTTCAAGTCATAATTACGCTGACTGCAACGAAGAAGTCAGTGTTTGTGTTTATCATTGAGCTAAATAGGTTAACTGGCTAGATATCGGAGAAGAAATTTAAGTTAGCTCATCAACAACTGTCATTAAACAGGCCAGTAAGCTAACAAGACATCTTATTGACTCATTGTATAGTTCTCAGCAACAAGCCTACTTATAGCTGGTTAGTTTAAGTAGGTTTATTGCTGCTCACTTATTGTGGCAAGTTGTGAATAAAATGGCTATAAATAGCTGGTTTGGGTAGTTTTGCTGTCACAATTGTATTTGTTATTTATGTATAACTAATGGTCAGATTGGTAGGTGCTATAGTTTGCTAGTTGTAACAACTTGCTAGTGTTCAGCTAACATTATTTATCTGTTACTGGTAATTTTCTGATTTGTTGAGTTGACAAGAGGTGACAAGATAATGTAGTTTCCTTGCAGCCATTGAATGTTTTGCTACCCACAGTTTGCTGCAGCTGAGGCTCTCCAATTTAGACACTGCATGTTAAAAAACAAAACAAAATGCACACCAAAAATAAAAATAAAGAGCCAAAAGATTGATGTAATGTAACACAAATATTTGACTGTAGTCTCCCAACCAAAATCATGAGTACATGACTGGCTTACGTTGCACATTGACAACTCGTGCGGTAGAAAAAGCAACATGTGCTCTCTCCCCTACAGGAACTTGTTATAGAAGCATAAAGTAATTACCCAGTAACATTTACCTAGTTTGGCTTTCCTTACTGCTCAATAGCCATGAACTAGCATCCTCTGGTCAGAAGGTGAATCGCCCTTTATTTAAGCTGTACGACAAGATTAACCATGTTTACATGGTATATTTGTGAGTGACTGAGCAGGCGTGGGCTTGTGAAAGGGCTTTACTTTAGCTGATGATGTAATATATGGTGGATTATGTAATAACTTATCTAATGTACTGAAATCGCTTAATGGGTTCAGGGGAGTAATGCCAACAAGCTAGTCTAATAAAATGTGGTACATTACCATTAAATCTTCACATGAACATTTTTATTTTCCCCAAAATCGAAAAAGCACAGGGAATTAAATAACATTTTTTGTATTATAAACTTATCCGCGCGGAACAGTTGTTACGGTTCTGGATTGGGCTTTAAACTGACATTTGACCCAAAAATGCATAGGGAGTATACATGGCCACATACATACATAAAAGAAAAAAACAAACAAACAAACAAACAATTCAGAAGGCTTTTCTCAGCATTTTCATTTTTTGTTGCTTTACAAAAGTTTGTTCCATTGTACATGAAAATACTTACAGTGCATGGTATTCAACAGTGTGCTTTATATTCAGCAGTAAGTGCTTGGAGAGAAGTAAATGTCCCTTTTTTGTATGTGTGTTGAGTTTACACTATTTTAAGCCTTTTCCGGTTTTTGGAAATAAAAATATAAAGGCCCACAATCCTTTAAAACCTCACTACTGTACAATGAAATGTACACAAATTAGTTTACACACACACACAGACACATACACACAAACACACACACACCTCTGAAACAGTGTATGCCCAGAAGTAGTGGACATTTTTTGCACATACATGTATTAGACAGAGAAACGTTGACAAATAGAAGTCTTCTGTATATGTTTTGTTATTCACACCCATACAGACATGGAAATTCTTATAGGGTGCCGCTGAATTCTGTTACATAACAACATAAGAAAATGGTAGGAACAGGGGTTGTGACTCTCTCAAAGTTGAGTTTTTTTTGTTAGTCTTGTCGAAAAAAAAATGCTGTTCTATTACTCACTTATAATAATATCCTTATACTGACGATGTATCCATCATATACTCCATATAGTTTTGTTCACCATAATTCATGCTAATATGTGTACACACACAAGTGTGCAAAGGATGTTTAGATTTGTTTTTTTCCTCAAAAAGGACAAAACCTTTATCTTGCAACTTGCGCATTTATAAAATACTGCAGTAAAGTATTTAAATGTTAACTAAGAGCAACCCATACATAGATGAGCAGTTTCTTTGAAATTGTATGGCTTCATCATGTCTATCAATAGGATTAAAGAAGACAAAGAAGTGAACTGTGGTAAGTTCTTAGAAATATTTGGATGATGCCAGTTAGCTTAAAGTGTAAAAGATTGGTGCTGTTTTGGTGGAAAATGGTAGCAAAACCAGAGATTGATTTTAGTTTTATTCTGTTTACTGCAATTTATTTAAGTTAACTGCTACTTTGTAGAATTTAAGCACCTACTTTTGCACAGCACATTCATAAACTGCCAAGATCAGTAGGAGGGAACAAGAGCCAGCCCAATTTCAGTTAATCCAAAGATAATTGGAGCAAACACATTTTTGGCAGGAAAAAGAAAAAATCATGAGAAATTAGGGGTCTGAAGGAAATGGAATTAATGTCTGGGGTTGCAAAACTTGAAACTTGAAGACTTGTAAGTTCTAAAGTTTCTGTGTGAAGGGTATTTCAGTGCTCCAGCTACTTTGAGCATTCTGACTATTGTTAGTCGGATGCACAGTGCCCTTGATTATAAAATCAAACACCCTGAAATTTAGTTTTTGGGAAAGTCAAACCCAAAACAGGTTAGTATGATGGCTGATGAGTCACAGCTTATGTTGACACAAAGAAGAATAAATCAAATTAATAAATAAATTGCAGCTGTACAAGATGATGCTACAGCTAGGACTAGCTCTGTTAAATATTAATGGTGCACCACTCCAAACTAAAAAAAATGCTACTTGTTGTGCTTCTGACCTGATGTACTGCCTTTGGCCTTGGACACTGTAGTCTCATTCATTAATGAGGCGTCAGTGGTGTAAAAATACAGATTGTGTGTCTAACCACATTGCAGGTGTAAGGTTCTAGTTGGCTGTCTCTTGAATTAGAAATTAACATTCCCTTAGCAGTAGAAGTAGAAATATACTTAGGGCTTTAAAACTATCGCACAACTAAGATCAGGTTTAGTTCAAGAAGGGATCTGTAAGATGTGACAAGGTTGCTAATCAAAAGTTAGCAGGGGAGGCTTTAGGAAGAAGAGAAAGGTTTACTATTTTCCCAATAGTCAGCATTATGTGAACTGATTAGAATCTTGCACTAATGAGCTGTCAGTCAAGGAAACCACAACACTTAATGTTGTGGTGAAGGTTAATAGTGGGTAAAACCAGCTCTCAATCCTTGACATAACATTTGGCACACACTCTGTTCAAACTAATGTTTGTTCTTAGTTCAATTTTGGATCCATGGTGAAATTGCAAATGAGCACACACAAGTAGTCAGGAATGCTCACAGTGCTTCAAAGGGTGCTGACCATTAAAGGATAGTGGCTCAGTTTAACTCAGGCCGAACTCTGGAAATTTCCAATTGCACCTTGGAATAGAACCTACTGATACACTCACATACAAATTACACATCATAAACAGACATTCATGAAAGACACAACAAAATGGCTTGATAATAAATGCATAACACACACTGTACGGTTTCATTTCCTTTGTTATCAGAGCCTTTTGTGTAAGAATGTGTGTGTCGGAAATTTGTCCATAGTCTGGCTTCACCAGCAACCTAGTGTAGTAGGTCTGATAGCAGATGATGCTATTGACTTTGTTCATAATCTTTGTGCAAAAGGGCGAGTGTTACCAATAAATCCAAACAGCAGTAGTGCTCTATAGCTATTATTTGAATGAACTGTGTGTCCTAGTTTAAAAGGCTGTTAAATTAAAAGCCACAACAAAGAGAATGTTACTTCTTTATGACTTGTTGCTTGTTGTTCCCACTGCCTTAACATCTATACAACAGCATAAATGATCCATGACAATGAGACTCTTCAATAATTGAATCTTCCTCAAGGACCACATAGGGTTTAGTGGTGAGGCTGCAGATCACAAGCAACTGTATACCACTTCCTTATTAGATGTGTAGAAGAAATACAGATTATATAATAAAAAAGAAAACAAAAAATAGAATATTATCAAATATTCCAGTTTGGTAATATTCCAGTTCTGGAACATATCGGGAACAACTGTGTCTTGTCTCCTCTGTAAAATATGGCGGCATGACACTCGGGCATTACTGCAGAAGGCCCACAACCATAAATGCTGATCTCATGCTGGACAAATGAAAACACGATGATTCATACTTATAAGTGATACTCCAATGGAAAATTATGAATATTTTAATTCCTATAGATCCTCCTAAATCACACTTGTCATTGTGTTGACACTGCCTGCTATTGGGAACAGCTTTAATCACTGCTTAGGCATTCTTCTCCAAGAATGGTCCCAGTGGCTCACAGTATATATTAGTTTTGAGGTCGCTGGTAAGTGAAATGATCCTTTTGTTGTTGGATTATATAAATCAGACTTAACATCTTAAAATTAAACTAGCTGCTAGTTAATTTATTCTGCGGCACACATCCTTACACAAATATGCCAATAAAGACAAACAGATGTTACATTAAATCACTCTGAGCCTCAAATCTAATAATTTTGCGATTTGAAATGAATTTGAAATGCTACTGTTGCTTGACATTGTAGTCTTGCAATGAAATATGATGAGGTGAACCCAGTGATCTCAGACAACTATTGATATAGTGGATAATGTCATAACATTTGGCACATTTCAAATGCAGGTAGATGTTCTTCGTTTGGCAGTACAGTTTGTTCTGGGGCACAGCCACTCATGCTCATTTATGGTGTAGCAAAAGCCGTGATTGGTCAATTCCACTTAAGACACCATTTTTCATTGGGAGCAGAAATTACGCCCTTCTCTCCTTTCACTTTCATTTTATGATAGCATGAAACAAAATAACAGTTTGGCAGTTGTGATGGCATCACTGATGACATCTTCATAAATCAGCGTTGTGATGTCACCAAAGTGACATTATAATGTGCAGCAAGATCCAATAGAGAAGTCTGCCTTGAAAAAAACAGCTATACTTGACCACTCCAGAATTTTGTTTTTTTCTTGGTAATGTCAAGTGAGCAGCAGTGTTTGAGCAGAATCTTAGCAGCATTATGAAATTCTAAAGTGGCTACATTTATTATAGACACACTCCCATTATGAACTATTTGTTCCGTTTTCTGTTAGTACTTAGTAACCTTCTGTGAAACAAATGGAAACCCGAAACTGAGAATTTTTCTCCGGTAAAATCATTTACAATATTGTATAAGGCAGATCTCTCAGGTGCAAGTACTGTAGGTTCATGGGAGCATATGGCCTTGCAATAAAAACTGAAATAATCTTACCCGTATTGCAGGTTAAAATGAGTAAAAATGGCTATTTAAAGTGCCGAGTAAGTCATTGTTGAAATCGAAACAACACTGTGAGTCCAGCCAGTTATCGGGAGAGCTTTTGGTGTGTTTTTCTGTATTGTGGTGATGCTTTCATATAGACCGTACTGTGTAAAAGCAGTTCAACCCAGTGTAAATGGGATGGGGAGACTATGTGAGCATGCACGTGTTAGGATGTGTGTTCCAGTAGGAGTCTCTGTATTTAAACAGATATACTGCAAGCCGGTGGAGTGTGTGTGTGAGTGAGTGTGTGTCTGCGTTTTTGGGCCAGTTCCACTATGTATAAGTTTATGCTTCATCACCAGTTACAATATGTCTTCTGTATGTTTTGTGCACGTGTATGTATTTGTGTTACAGGTCAAGTGCGTGGTCTAAAGTGTTGTTATTGTCCTCTGGGTCATCATTGGCAAGTGGGTTGCGGCTGATGACCAGTTCAAGTCTGTCTCCTGCTTCTGTGATGAGAGGTACGGCCAGACAACAGTCAAAGTCTCTCGTCCTTACATGGTTCACCTAAATACAGTCAAAAAGATTAAGCCAATGGTTACTTTGGTAATTTGCATAACTGTAGACATTTTTAATTTAGCAAACAAAAAAAAAGAGGGGGACGTGAAGATAACTACATGTAAGCATAACAAAATATGATGTAAAGAATTTTTCCAAATGCTGAGGACAGAGTGAGCTTTTTTCTTTCTTCACAACAAAAAACTATATTAGAATTAGGGATGCAATGATGGGCAGTACACTAATTATTATCATCATCATCACCTGCAGGATCCTGTCATAGGGTCTAAGCCCGGCTCTGTCAGCAGGGCCATCAGGTCTGATCATGTTGACATAAACACCTTTTTCCAAGAAACCATCTGACACGCTAAAGCCAAAGTCATCACTCTCTGGGTCCTTTATCACTGTTACCTAGTGACAGAACACAAGGATGTGAGGTTGAGTAATAAAATGTAATTTGCTAGTATCTTGTGCTCCTAATCAAGACAACAGAACAAAAAGACTATTCACATGTCAACCCGTCTGATGAAACTGTCTCAAAATATCTGTTGTGTCACTGCAGGAACAATAAGTTTCTCTGTGGATGGGAATAACACTTGTAACCATGATAACTGCACACAAACATAAAGAAAGCTGCGCAACACATGAAATTTAGACAAAGAAATGTCACTGATAAATTAACATATTCAAATTTATTTAATCAAAGTACAAAAATTTGTCTAAATTAAAAGTTTTGTATGCAAATTAAAACCAAACCAACACCAGATGCTAAAATAAACAGATTTTTAGCCTGAGATCCAGATCCAATTCTAACTGGTTTAAGATCCCAAGCAGAATAAAAATGCTCATTAAACAGGACGACCAGAATAAATGCACACAAACTGACATTTATTACTTTAGGGTGGAATAAACTATTTTGTAAACTGATCCAAATAAATATTTTACCATGTAAACATTTTAACCTGATTGCTTTCTGGGTGTGTATTCGCAGCTGAAAGTTTATTTGTAATACAAGGTCCTAAAGAATAAACGGAAAAAACGATAATGACAATTGTGCTGATAATAGACGTCTTTCTTCAGTGAACTGCAATGTGCCACAAAGCAGGAACCAAAAGCCGAATAAATGGACAAAGCCATATAATATAATGGACAACTGTAAGATAAAGTCTTTATTATTGGTAATGCAATCCAGATTGTTTGCTGTACCTTTTGGATACAAAACCAAAAATGCAGCAGCATTATGACATTCATCTGAAATGTTGTATGATCGATTAACGAGGCACGACTTAAGGCTGTAATAGTTGTTCACTGTGATGTATTTTCTCTCTATGGATAAAACATGTATTTCTCATTCTGGCTCTGAGCTGTACATGTTTCACTTGGCCCTCGTCTCCTCAAATTGTGACTGTAAATTCATGGAAGGCATGTAGTCACTTGCATAACAGTTGCCCAGGGAGGCTGGGTATTTATACTGTATTACATAATACTCTGCACTGTAAAAAAGAACATTTCAAACCTCATAAGAGTAAACTAGAACTCACTATGCATGCTAGCTAGAAAGGGGATATTATTAAAGTTATTAGTAATGACAGTGTTTGACATGTCAAGTCAAAATGTGTACTTTAAAGTTTGGACCAGATACCAATGCTTACAAACTTTAACAGCAATGTCAGCTTGAATGGTTACATTGATATTTTTGGTTGAATTCTAATTATCTACTGCAAGTTTACCTAATATTCTCAATATTTCATCCTAACCCACATCAAAAACATATTTTGTCCAGTTCTCTCTGAACTCACTTTGTGAAGCTCTAGTGGTGTTGGTGACAGAATACCCTGCATCTCTTCTTTGATCCGACGGGACTCCCATGTCCTCTCTGATACTCTCAGTGAGGCCTTTGACTTGGGCTCGTGGTGCAGGAGAGGGGATTGGATATCTTGGTGAATGTGGACCCCTTGTTGTAGGTGCAATTCCTGGTTGAAATGGGCCTCCTCGTGTAGATGGGGGTCTGAGTGGCAAACATATTGCAAGTGTTTTTAACCAACTGTTTAACAAGTAATCCTTCTATACATGGTATAAAATGATACTTTACTATATTTTTCTGTTTAAAATTTGGAAACAACCACCCTTAGTTGTGTCATATCAGTGACTAACCTTGGTGAAGTTGAGCCTCTTCATGAAGGTGGGCTTCCTCGTGAAGATGAGCACCCTGATGGAGGTGTGTTCCTTGGTGGTGCAAGTTGCCTTGATGCAGGAGAGAATTTCGCCGCAATGGGCTCATCCTGCTGTGGGTCAGTATGGGCTCAGATGGAGGCTTGTTGACACCATCTACACCAAGACTGATGGCTGTGCCTGTCATGATGGATGCCTGCAATGAATTGAAACAAGTTGAGTTACCGCTTTGTAACCAACCATTTGGAGACATTGAGTGCTTGCCAATGTGATTGTTTGACAAACATTCATACGTTCAGCACAATTTGTTACTGGTTTAAATACTATTGGTCAGACTGGGCAGCATCACCTCATCCCCCGTCATAATGAACACTGGTGCTCCACAGGGGTGTGTACTGAGGCCTCTCCTGTACTCACTCTACACCTACGACTGCACGGCCACTAGCAACTCCAACATCATTTTGAAGTATGTGGACGACACTACAGTGGTGGGTCTTATCACCAAAGGTGATGAGACGGCTTACAGGGAGGAGGTCAGCGCCTTGACCCACTGGTGCCGAGACAACCATCTCACCCTCAAATACTAAATACTAAACATGCTATACATTAAAATAAACTGCAGATTAAACATGATGTTTACAACCATTAAAATATGAGGGTTCATAAAAACCTGCAACAAAACTGTTGTTAAAACCCTTTGACTCAAGTGCAAATCCACTTCAGTGAGCACTGTATGCTGATTAAGTCCAGTATTCATCTTTGATGCCAATTTTACACTTGAAGTCAAATAGTTGTGAAAAATACTAACTAACCTCTATTTCTCTTAGTAGTTCTGACTGGCCACAGGTCTCCAGGTCCTCCAGAGCTTGACACCAGAAACTGTCTTCTGGATCCAATAGAATGCCATCCGGTTGCTGGCCAATAAATCTGCCACACAAAAACAGACACACAAATAAAACAAGTTTCCACACCCATTTTGCTGGATTTTCTCTGTTGCTGAGTACTACAAAAGGGGAAAACCATGCAAAGCAAGACAAATATATTTAAGCTTTATCTTCATGGAACTGCCTTTTGATCACACGTTGTGTATTGTGCGAAATGTATTTTTCTCTTAAATATTTTATTATTATGATTATAATTATTATAATTATAATATTTATTTATCTAAAGTGCAGAGAATAGTTGGCTACATGAAAATGCAGTGTGCCTGATTTAGCACTGGAACTTTCACTTACAAAAAGACATTAAGGACACAGAATCTGTACACACACTGTCTGTATCTGTCATGGTTAAACCGAACAAAAGTAATCATTTAACCCAGAATGTCCCCAACTAACACGATTAATTCACTTTCATTGTTTTACTGATTTTTGTTTTTTTCCTCGAAAATCCCTTTCTCTCGCTGTACACCCTCAAAAGTGTTATGTAACTTTAACATGCTGACTAGCCTTAGCCTTCTGACTCATCACAGCTTTACACAGAGATACACAAAGACACAGGTACAACATATTCACAGTAGCACTGACTTCATGACTCAATCTCTGCAATGAGGTGTACCCTTCGCCATGAGCTCTTGGTGATGATACTGGCACAGTGAAACAGTGTTAAAGATAAAATCCTTTCTTGCAGAAAATAAGCTCATGCATTTTGAAGATCTATAGTGGTGAAATATATCATACCATTCCACACCATACCATAGCACTTTATTCATAAAACAGCTTTAGAAACATTAGCAGGGCTGACCAAATTGCTGTTCAATAACACCAAACATAAAAGACAAACACGGGCCAAAGGGTAAAAGATACAGAAAACAAAACAGCTTTAGAGTATATAAAAAGTAGATAGAAATCACAGTCAATTTCACACTGTGTCAAAGGATAGGGACTAAAAGTGAAGGACCTGTCTGAGCTGTGATTCCTAATCATTCCACAATATAATAATTAATATAGAACTGACATCACAAATGCAATCACTCCAAGGAGCTTTATATTGTCAGGTAAAAACCCTACAATGAAACAAAGAAAACTCGAGTAATCTGATTATCCCTATGAGCAAGCACTTGGCATCACTGGGAGGAAAAAACCTCTGGCAGAACCAGACTCAGGGAAGCACAGCCATCTGTCATGATCGGTTGGGTATGAGGAGAGGAAGACAGGACAAAAGATAGTGTTGATGAACCATAGAAACTATTATCTATGTCACCTTGAGGTCAAGGTCAGATCACCTTGACCTTGAGGTCAAGGTCACCCCATCATTTCTTTTTACTGCTGAGGGATAAAAAACACACACACTCACAAATAAACTGTACAATCAAGTGAGTGCAGACAGCCTACAATGGCCCTTAGTCAATAAGTCAACATTTATATGGATTTTTATGAATAAAAAAGGTGATATCAAAAAAAAAGTGTATGATAAACAAAAAAAAAAAAAAAGACAGTCACAACGAACAGCTTTGTAGCTAAAACTAAATTCAGACCTACCCTGGTGGTTTGTCCCAGTCATCCTCACTGAAGCCTCCATCACTAAACGGGTAGTTCTTCCGACGTCCAGGAGGAGGCGTGGTACTTCGTTGTTGCTTGGCACTACGCCACTCATGCGGGTGTAGAGCGATACCAGCTGCTTGATGGGTGTATGTACCTACAAGAGGATAGATGAAATGACCAAATACAAGAAAGAGTGCTTTTAATATATTCCTTCTTTTCATTAACATATTTCTTACAGGGTTAAGACATCCTGAAATTTCACTTTCTACACATGCTCAAATGTAGCTTACCCTGGCTCCCATAGCCTGCATCCAGCCCTGAGCCATCCCATGACTCCATAGCAGAGTCAACGCTGGGTATTGTTGTGGAGTAAAGCTCTGATAGCTTGTTGGTTTGTTGGCTGTCTGTCAAATCATCCTCCTCAGGGTCACTGATCTCGTTTTCTGTTGTGTCCTCTATATCTGCCGTCTTCCTGTCTTCTATGTCTTGAAGAAAAAAAAAAGAGGCCAATTTAATTTAAAGGTTAACTCTAATTTTTAACTTGGTAAAATACATATGTGAACCTTTTACTACATGTATATTTTTCAACATTAAATGCTTATAAGAGACAAAATGAAACTTGAACTGGTTAACCTACTGACCTCTTCTCTGCATTTACCTATAAACAGGTTTTAAATCAGATCTATTAGGATATGAGTTGCAAACAGCTAACCTGTTACATACCACTTATACAGTACAAATATTGTATGCATGTTTTAAACAACAGGGTTTCCATATCTTCGCCCCGCAAAAGCTGTATTACTGTATTACTTTCCTATTTTTTTTTACCTCCTGCACAGGAACTGAAACCATCTGATTCTGCGCAAGGTTTTTGTTCTATTGACCTGGTGTGCAGATAACGGAAGAACCTTTGTAATGCAAGTAACACCTTATTTATAACTGTGATTACTGAATTTAGCACAGTAACGTGTTACATTACGGCGGTACTGAAAGATGTAATGTGGCAACGGTAACACGTTAGCCAACACTGCGCACAAAAGACAGATTTAAAATGCATGTTACTGTTACTAGTTTTTATACTTACTGTCAAGCTGTTTTTTTATCTTGAGAGTGACCGTCTCTCCAGCCATCTGCAGCAAGTGGATGGCTTCGCTCAGTGGCTTCCCTTTCAGGCTGACACTGTTGATAGCCAAGATCCGATCACCTACATGTATAGCCCCTGTCCTACATAGGTACGAGATACACAAAGGTACAGAAGTAGAAATTTGTATTATTCCCACACAGGAAAAGTAAAAAATGTTAAACCTCATACATATCATTATACAAGAAGATTGTTAATAAGCCTAAAAAGGACTCTAGAGGGGTCTGAATAGCATTAAACCATTAAATATCTATCAAAAAAGTTATTTGTGAAAACATATTTTGACCTCTAGTGCACCATGTTAGTATTTTTAAATAATACCGCAAAATACACTAATATCAGAAATTCTCATTTCCTACAAAATCAAAGATCAATGTACAAAAAAGCAGCTGCTGTCAGGAGTAGTGTCGTGGACGAGAGAAGGAGGACCCAATCGCTGGACTCACAGGCAGGTAGGTGAAGGTGGATGTTTATTGCCGAAGGAGTGAGCAAACAGTACAGAGGGAGGAAATGGCTGGCTGGCTGGCTGGCTGGCTGGCTGACTGAATGAATGAATGAACAAAGGACTGGCTGGCTAACTGAACATACAGACAACACTAACATCAGACGTACATCAATGACACGACAAGGATCGGATGGAACTGAGGACTTAAATATGGGTGATGAATGATTAGAAACCGGTGAGTACGCAGCTGAACTTAGTCTGACTAATGATACATGGAAATAACTGGAACACAATACGCAGGCGGTATGTTGGCACAGAAAACACAGATGTGAAAATAAACTGAACATGACAAAACAGAAAACACTGGGTCAACGACCCAGGAACCCTGACAGTACCCCCCCCCCCTCCAAAGGCCGGCACCCGACGGCCAAAAGACAAAAAACCAGAACAGGGCGGGCGGAGGGGGCACAGGACGAAGGGACGGAGTCCACACAGAGCCAGTTCAGGCGGGCGGCCACGCGGCCAGTGGCTGAGCCCATACAGTTCAGGTGGGCGGCCACGCGGCCGGCAGAGATGCTGAAGTCGATCCGGTGGGCGGCAGCGAGGAAGACGGCGGCAGCCACTGAGCCGGTGCGGTGGTCGACCACACCGGCGACGAGGAGAAGGCGGCCAAGGAGCAGCTGCAGAAGGCGGCGCGGGAGCCGGCGGAGACTGAGGAGCAGCTGTAGGGCCAGGCAAAGCAGAGGCCGAGGCTGAGTCTGAGGCCGGACCAGGCGAAGCAGAGGCTGAGTCTGAGGCCGGACCAGGCGAAGCAGAAGCCGAAGCTGAGTCTGAGGCCGGACCAGGCGAAGCAGAAGCCGAAGCTGAGTCTGAGGCCGGACCAGGCGAAGCAGAGGCCGAGGCAGAGTCTGAGGCCGGACCAGGCGAAGCAGAGGCCGAGGCAGAGTCTGAGGACGGACCAGGCGAAGCAGAGGCCGAGGCAGAGTCTGAGGCCGGACCAGGCGTAGTAGAAGCAGAGGCTGGACCAGGCGTGGCAGAAGCAGAGGCTGGATCAGGCGAGGCAGAAGCAGAGGCTGGACCAGGAGAGGCACAGGCTGAAGCTGGACCAGGCGAAGCAGAAGCAGAGCTAGGTGACAGCGAGGCAGCCGCAGGTGGTGGCTGGACGGGCTCCTCGGGCCCTCCAGCGGAGACGGGAGGCTGGACGGGCCCCTCGGACACTCCAGCGGAGACGGGAGGCTGAACAGGCTCCTCGGGCCCTCCAGCTGACGAGGAAGGTTGCTGGATGGGCTCCTCGGGCCCTCCAGCTGACGAGGCATGAGGCTGGTGCGGTTCTCCTGAACCCCCAGCTGACGAGGAAGGTTGCTGGACGGGCTCCTCGGGCCCTCCCGCTGATGAGGCATGAGGCTGGAGGGGCTCCTTGGGCCCTCCAGCTGACGAGGCATGAGGCTGGTGCGGTTCTCGGGCCCTCCAGCTGACGAGGAAGGTTGCTGGACGGGCTCCTCGGGCCCTCCAGCTGACGAGGCATGAGGCCGGACGGGCTCCTCGGGCCCTCCAGCTGACGAGGAAGGTTGCCGGACGGGCTCCTCGGGCCCTCCAGCTGACGAGGCATGAGGCTGGACGGGCTCCTCGGGCCCTCCAGCGAAAACGGTCTCAGAACCAGTGGGCACTGGAGCCCCTGGCACACACAGGACAGAACCAGCAGGTGCGGGGACCTCTGGCAGGGAAGCGGCCGGGCCAGCGGGTGCGGAAACCCCTGGCTGAGAAGCAGGGTAGCTCACAGCTGGCTCTGGGTGCTGTGGCTGCAGGTCCGGGAACTGAACAGGATGGTGGACGGGCGACTGGACTACTGACTGGAGGACAGGAGGCGACTGGAGTGGAAGCTGAACAGCAGGTGAGGGAACTGACTGGAGTGGAGATGCTAAGGGATGAACAGAGGTAGGCGAGGCTGACGACGGAGCTGAGGTTGGTGTGGCTAATGGTTGAGCTACAGACTGAGCTAGTGACGGAGATAAGGCTACAGCTTGGGCTAGTAAGGCTGGTGCCTGGGCAGGGGCCAGTTCAGCTGATCTAACTAGGGATAGTGCGAGGGCGTGAAAGGCTGGGTCAGGAGGTGGATGAAGTGGTGAGGTAGCAGGTGAACCGGTTAGCTCTTCCAAGCCGCTAGGGAGTTCTGGCTGGGTTCTGGCTGCCCTCAGCCTGGGCGCTGGGACAGGCACGGGAGGTGGCTGGACACCAGTCACCCCCACCCGAGAAACAGGAGCGGGCGTGGAGGTAGACTGGGTCGCAGCTGCCCTCCTCCTGGGAGCTGGCACTGGAGTGGGTGTAGCCTGACTGACGGGAGTGGAGATAACGACCGGGTGTGTGATACTGGCAGGTTTCTCTGGGATCGTTCTGGTCCTCCTGCCTCCACTATTTACAGTCTTTGACTGAACAGTTTTTGGGGGAGCAGAGCAGAAAAATTCGTCCCAGTCTACGTCCTCTTCTAGGAGAGAGACTCCCCATGAATCAGAGATAAGTCTATTAGTTATTTGAGGTGAAGAATCAAATGAGGAGGGTGGAAAACAGTCACTAGAACTCACCACCGGGAGTAGCTGAAAATAGTCCTTGTTATGGCGGCGTGTGCGCCGCTTTTTCCGGGAAGAGGAAGCGGGTGGGGTACACAGCCGAGCCTCTGGCGCGGGAGCCTCCATTGAGCCGAGGTGGTAGGCGGAGCCGCTGTGCCATTGCGAGGGTGAAGGTCCGGTGAGTAAAACGGCTGGCGGGCGAGCGAGGAGCGGAGCGGCGGGAGAGCGAGCGGCCGAAGCTTGGCCTGTGACGCCCACTCTCCGCGGCGAATGCTCCGGTGCAGGTGAGGCAGCAGGTGAGGGGGGAATGCGGCATCTCCGAGGCCCGCCCAGAGCCAGGCGAGTCCCCTTGAAGACGTGCTCTCTCTCCGCGAAGAGCCGCTGTTTTCCCCGAAGCCCCTCCGTCCAGCGAAGGAGCGCTGCCTCCTGCCGCTCGAAAAGTTCAGAGTCCGCTGGGTCCACAACGCGTGGTCGTGTCATTCTGTCAGGAGTAGTGTCGTGGACGAGAGAAGGAGGACCCAATCGCTGGACTCACAGGAAGGTAGGTGAAGGTGGATGTTTATTGCCGAAGGAGTGAGCAAACAGTACAGAGGGAGGAAATGGCTGGCTGGCTGGCTGGCTGGCTGACTGACTGAATGAATGAATGAATGAATGAATGAATGAATGAACAAAGGACTGGCTGGCTAACTGAACATACAGACGACACTAACATCAGACGTACATCAATGACACGACAAGGATCGGATGGAACTGAGGACTTAAATACACGCTGGGTGATGAATGATTAGAAACCGGTGAGTACGCAGCTGAACTTAGTCTGACTAATGATACATGGAAATAACTGGAACACAATACGCAGGCGGTATGCTGGCACAGAAAACACAGATGTGAAAATAAACCGAACATGACAAAACAGAAAACACTGGGTCAACGACCCAGGAACCCTGACAGCTGCAGTGTTTACAAGTATTATTGCTACTGGTTTATTTTTGATTACAATTTTTTCCAACTAATACAGATTTTTGCCAATTCTGATTTTCTAAAAAAAGTTAACTGACAGCATGTACAAACAAAAATCAATCTTATCAGGACACACACCCATATTTGCTTTTCCAGTTATCTCTATAATTTTCCTCATAACTGCTTTGCTAATATTGAGGCAAGACACTTGTCCTGTGTTAGCTTCTTTAACATGTCCATATTCAACTGGGTGAAGATGATTTAAGTGTCTGACTAGATTTGTTGTTACAATTTTTTTGTGTGTGTGTTTTCCCCCCTGTGGTTTTCTTTGGAGAACCTTTGTGTCTTCACTCACAGCGAAGAGATTCCATGCTAACGACATGTTAGCATATGGCTATAAGTGTGGCCGTGATTTTTTGCCTGTGGTATTGTGGAAAGTGTGTGAAATGGATTAGTTTTAAATTGGACATATATGAGGCTGACATGTGAATCTCAGTATGACACAATTATAATCTAACAGAGGGCAGGCGACTGGATAGTGTCACTGGGGCTGCACCACAGTGGTATTGCTCATGGCTACATTCATATTTTAGGAAGGCTTTCTGACCTGTATTTTATTATTTTATACTTAGATAAGAGCAAGCAATTAAAGCTAGAGAAAAAGAAAAACAAATTTGTATTTACCTTGGCTCCATGTTTTTCAAACTACTGTAGGGCACACGATTGGATAGAAAAAAATATATAACAATGGTCTGCAGTGATACAGTGTTACTACAGTGATACAGAGTTTCTATAGATAAGATCTTACTCTTTTATGTTCATACAAAACTAAGATAAGATAAAGTAAGGGAAAACTAAGATAAACCGCCATATGACTGGACTAAGGTCAGAACAAGGTGAAAAGAATAACACTGCCTCCCTTGAATATCATTAAAACTTTCACTTTCTTGTAAAGCCCTATAAGAAAGGAAAAACTGTCTTTTATATTCCAACCTAATTTGAGGAAGATATTCATTTTGAGGTCTCACACACAGGCTTATGAAAGCATATACTAAACATATATGTTAAACACTTTTTGAGAAAGCCTAGCATAACAAATAAGTTTTTTTAAGGA